AGCAGGAAAACACTATTAAGCAAAAAAGTTACGTCCCACTGAGCTGCACAAGATTCCTGAAGTTGATCATTTTTACAGGCTGCACACATTGTATCTATTAAAAACACACTGGCAACTTAAACAAAAGATCAGCTTATGTTTGTGTTTCGCATTGTTTTGTATAAAGACAAAACACACTCAAGTGCTTGTGTGTTGCAATAGCTTCATCTAGAGACAACTGAAAAAAAAAAGATGTCTACCCGAGCTGTCCAACGTGCATGAGGTGCATAATGTAACTTTACTTTTCCTGACCAAAACTGCAGTTTCTTATTCTAAGTAAGCATGTCCTCCCAATTATTTACTGCAGGAAATAGTCTCTTTCTAAATTTACCTTTCAGTGAATCATTTTCAGCTCTCATTATGTCAATTAGCGAGTTCTCCAGTGAATGCATGTCAAAAGTCCTTGTGCGATCCTGCAAGCAAACACAAAGCCAGTTTAGGCAACACACAGTGTTAAACAAGACCATCTGAAACATTAAAACTTCGGTTTTGTTCTGCACTACTACAGCAGAATTAAGCAGAAACACATACATCATTAAAGTCAGTCTGATATAGGAATACTGAAAAGCAGAATATTATTAAATATGAATCTGATCTGTATTTATGATAGCCGATCATTTAAGAAACCCAATTCAATATTTAGTTTGTATTCTTTGCTATACAGTTAAACTTTATTAAAAATAATTTCACAGGAAGTAATAACATTATCCTGGGAGACAGAATTGCAAGGAGAAATCATAAAATAGGTATTTCAACCCCAATTTAAGACAAGGTAAATTTCAGAACCACAAAGAATTTCTTTCACCTAAACTACTACCCCAACAACTTAAATAATCTAATTCTGCACAGTCAGTTCACATACCGCAGAATTATAAAGTATTCCATACAAACAACAGTGTTCCAAATAGTCCTGTTTACTAGGTGACAACTTAGCTCTGATTTTCAATTCCCTGACTTCCCAAATTTGGTATTCCAAGCATTACTAGAGTTGAAGGAGAACTCAACAAACGGGAGGCAAGATGTGTCATGTCCTACTTTTTCATTATCTCAAACCACCTGAAGTATACTTACCAAATATTTCTCCTTCATATTAACCAAAGCCATCATTTAACACATGCATGATTCAGACTTTCCTAACTAAAACAGTAAGTTCCACATCGCACAAATCTGATGCTACAGTAACGTAAGACAACATAAAATATCCTGGCACTGCATTATTTTAATTAGCAAATTCAGAATAACTGAAATTATATATAAACTTTGAAATCTTTACAGTACCATCAGAGGTCACTAATGGAGGCAAAAAAACCCACACTCATTCCCAAAACTATTCACCTATCCATGTTATCTATGTATTTGGACATTTGAACATTTGTAGAAACATCTGGATAGAATTTTATAATATTAATCCAACTTGAATTTAACTTTTCTGTGTCCAAGAACTCCTCTAACATCAGTTGTAAAGATTCTATTTCATTCATGTTCTAAGAGATTCACCTCTGAACTGAGATCAAGCATGGAAAGCATCTGCTCAAATAAGAACAAAAACGTGAGCTATTCAAGACAGACATTTGCTCTGAACTGCTTCTCTACAACTGTTGTTACTAAGCAGTGAATATATTTTTTGTCCCTGACCCTAGCTGTGAAGCTGAAATTTCTCCAAAGCACACAGATCCAGCTTTGATCATTTTTAGAACCAGTGGTGAACTAAAAAACGGTATTGCACAAAGACTGTTGTGTATCAAGTTATAACGTCCCTTACTTCCAGTGATGAAGTGCTAAAGCAGTATCGATTGCAGTGTTGCAAGAGGCATTCTTTATATCAGACCATCATCAGTCATCTTGGATTCCAAACACCTAATACTATTTTAAGAGCAGGAATCCACTAGCTCCTAGAGTCCTGATCCATTTCCAAGTTCATCAGTTACATTCTGACCACTACAAACCACCATTTTTCAACAACTTATTCTGGTATTGTTCCTCTCTTCAGAACAGCTTATTACTGACACAGAACAGGTGAAGTATTTCTATCCAGATATGCTGCACTGCAAACAGCATTAGAAATATCTGAGTTTGGAACTATTTGCTTTATTAGTCTAGCCCAATATCAAACTTGCTACAAAAAGCATAGCACTGCCCGGTCTCTCCACAATATTTATTTCTTTGGTCATTTATATTACAAGGTAACTGAGACACCTTAGAGTAACCACCACGAGCACTTCAACTCTTAAATTCTGTGGTTTACTTTCAGACATTTCCTACCAGTTTCTTCCTTTTCTAGTAGTATTTAGTTTATTGTTTGGTTCATACATTACTAGTTCATAACTATTTCAAACTACTCTAGATACAGTAAAATACCTTAGCAGGGTAGAGTAAAAGTCCGTGGGTCTCTGGCCTGGACCCATCAGGATCCAACAGCTGTGTAACTCAGGAATGGATGCTAGAACACAATCTCTGCATTTCAGCAGTCCTCACAACATGACAAAAATAGCCTAAAACACAGGTGGGAGCATGTTCTGAAAACCTGGCATCCCTCGGTAGCTACTCCTTCTTCCATTCTGGCTTTCCTAGTGTATTGTGTTTCTCTGTGTGGAATTAATCTTAAATCCAATCCACAAACAGCTACACAATTCTTATTTTACAAAGTGCAGAACCTCAGGAGTTCCAAGTCTTTGTTGAATTCGGAGCACTTAACATTTCAGTTGTCCAAGAGACATGAAGGAAGAAACCCAGGCCAAGTCATGGCTAGTTTATCGTGCTGCATGTGCACTGGAGTACGTGAACCCGGAGATAGCCTCTTGTCTCTCAAACTTCTGTGCTATGTTGGGTTGAGCTATAGTAATGAACAGAGCGTTTTGCTGCAGTGGCAAGTTTTTAATACTGAGAACAGAGAGTTTAAACATTTGAGGGAAAAAAAAAAAAGAATTGAACAGGTTAGCTGATAGGGACATTCTCCAATGGAGGCTTTTTGTAGTGAGGAGTCTATAGTTTTCCCCTTCTGAGTGAACCAGCTAGCTGTCACTTTTGTAGTATAAGGTCCAGAAGCTTCTAATCATACCGCAAACATTCTAAAACACGATCCTGCACGCTGATACAGAAGGTTAACTGGTTGTTCTCCTACCTGTGGCTATCAGCAATCACATAAAAAGGACTGTCTAAAACGTGGCCCACATTCATACTCATGCTCTCCAATGGTTCCAGTAACTTGACATAGCAATGGAGAAGACTGCCTTGGGCTAGAGCACCCTCAAAACACTGATATGTTACTATCTATTTCTTGCCTATCTTTCCAACAAAAGGTGTCTGTGCTTACAGCATACCTAATCATCATTGTCAATTCATGGTGCTGAATTCCCCCAGCCTCAACACCCTTGGGAAGATCAGTCTCATTCCTGGGTTGTTTGAAACCGTTTGCTCCTCCATATCTCTGCTTATCAGTTAGAAGATAGGAAACCATGCTAAGCACAACACTAAGAGCCACTACTACAGTTACACTGAATTTGGATATATTCCTGAAATTAATGCAGCAGTCCACCTCTCTGGAAATGCAGAGTAATTCAAGAACTGTATACATCTATCCAATGAAAAGATGTCAGTCATGTATGCCTTAAATAAAGACCAGCCAAAATGCCATGCTCAACTGGTTCAGAGGTTTGCACAGTGCTTACTATAAAAGAACATTAATTTAGTTAACTGCTTGCCCTGATACTAAAAGGGTCCCACTACCAGAGAAAGTCACTATTGGTAGTTTTTTTAGAATTTTTATATAATTTAAAGGCCTTTTATAGTGAGAGTGCTTTGAAAACTGGAGCACAGATTTTGCTGGTCTTAACTTCCAAGACGGTCAGCACATTTTATCAAAAGCACGTTATTATATCTGAAATATATGTATGTATTCTATACCTAGCATAAAAATAAAGACTGATGACAGGTTAGTGGTAGTGGCCATATTGCTGAAGAAATGTGGAACTATACATTTAATTCCGTAACATCAAAAAAGCCATAACAGTCAAGATACTCATCATTAACTGGTAACTAAATGTGAGCTATTCTCAGATATATGTTACTTAGGAGTTATAAAGCACATAAGCCACACTAACGAAAAAAGTGATGTTTTCTTCAAAAGGCTTCATGTAGAGAGAATTAACAACAATATGGTGGTGTTTTTAATAGATCAATTCACAAAGTTACAGTGCCTTCCATCGAGCTGGACTGCTTACTGTATACTTTTGTATTTATTTATAAATAAAAGATATAGTGGTAATGACTACTCTGGAATAAAGCAGAGTATGTACACTTTAGTAACAAAATAAGTTAACCACAGCTGGATATTATTTACCCAGGTTGATCACAAGAACATGGCTTTACACAAGTTTGTTTAGGGCATCTAAAATTTTGCTTTACGAGAGGGCTCAAAGGGCACACACATTTATCCTTGGGAAGCAGAACTGAGGCAGAAAGACAACAGGTTGAACACAAGGCCACAGAGGAAAAAAAAAACAACACAAACACAAACAACCAAAAAGAAAGAAATCAACCTGCAGTCTTAATACATGCCTATGTTTAAAATCTCAGCCAACATTTCAAAAGACATTCATTGAACATTTTGAATAAGCAGTATTGTTTTCACAATAATATCCAAGAAGTGACAGCTAGCAGATGTGGTTAAGAAAGCACTATCGAGACCAAATATTCTACAACAGCAAACACAACAGTTTCGAACTATACACTGGCCAGCTCTGTCTGCAGAAAAATAAAACCATTCTGATTGTCCTAGTCTCTAGAAATCATTTGGAAGTATGTAGAGTGCTTGTAGTAATGCAATCTCATCATTAGAGCACAGAGAATAGAACCCAGGATTTCACGTCACAACTTTTGTCATTGGATTCATACAGCCTGGGCAAACCACTTCACCTCTGTGACTACAATGGTTTCCCCACCAGCACCCAGACAGACTTTTTTATGTTTAGATTATTTTATGTAAAAAACGGAGCCACTTGTAAATAGGAAATCACTAAATTCTAATTTCCATTCCAATTTTATTTTTCGAAGTCCAAAGACATTTCATTCCAAAAAGTAAGTCACTTGGTACTAAGCGTGTACAATATATACTGGGACATCCTCTTATGCAAAAGAAATTAAACATTAATTTTTCACACACAGGAAGATCATACTTTGCACTTAGAAATCCCATACCTAAATTCTCTTGTGCATTAGAAAAATGTACATCTAACTTAAGTATTAAAGTGCAGATTCATTATATTTAATCTTCACCCACAGCATCGTCATCACCTGAACAATTAAGATTACAGAACCTGAGAGTTTCTATTCAATGCTTCCCACGACAGGCCTCCCAATGCTAAAAAAAACAAACAGTACAAAAAGTAAAGCCTGGCAAGGTATGAGCACTTGC